GTAAAAATGAAATTTCAACTTTACATATTACCTATCAGAAATTAAGTGCATAATTCAGGAACAGGCAAAAGTGAGAATAAATCAAGAGAAAAAATAAATTAACACCAACTTGGATTTTTATTTAATTTTTACCTTCTTAATCAAAACTTTATTATTACCCTTTACCTTACTTTATTAAGAAAAACTATTGTGTGATATTATTAGATTTCAAATCAGCAATTTATATTAGAAGTTAGAGAAAAACAAATTAATCATGATCATTTTTCTAATATATTCTTGATATGATTTGTGAGATTCTTTTACTGCCCTCAATAGTGTTGTGGTGATCTTCAACACTCCTCCATAATTTCGAATGGTATCTTTGATTAGTCTAAGAGACATAATAGTATTCTCATGGTGACTCACATTAAGCATTGCTTTATTTATCGAAAAACCTCTCTCAGGATCAGAATTCCCATGTGGCAAAATTAAAACAGCTTTAAATAATGTAGTTAAATTCTTATATTTTAGATTATTGCTATTTTTATTTAGCCTATAACTCTAATTTTTTAGGAACACCAACAAAATTTCATCAGATTTTTTGGAATTTTAGGGTTTGCACATACTTTTATGAATTTTAGGGGGAATGCGACCCCTGACAATGTCCTACCCTTAAAGTTTGTACTGTAAATTTAGGGTCACACTGTATTGGGAATACAAATAAAAACACTGCTGGTACCAAAACTCAAAATAAAACAACTTTCCAAAAATTATCTATTTAAGATCTAGAACCATAGGCTTTGAAATTAAGTTGATTATAGAAGTAAAATAGTAAGTTGAAAGATGAGTACTACCTTCATATTGCGTGCAAGCATATGGCATGTTTTCTTAATGCAAGGCCAATACCTCCTCCCCAGAGTTAAGGCCACGGCGGGGAAACTGTAAGCAATATATCCAAGTGTTTCATCATCACCTGAACTCATTTCCATGTTGCCCATTTCAAATGTTGAGTTGCTCACAACGGATACAAAGGAAGATAACAAGATAGGTGGGACAATATCCTGAAAACAACAGCATCAGTCAAGTCCTTTACAAAATATGCAGTCAACCAAACCTAATTTTTTGTACTAACAATACTACATAAAGTCTATGTGCACCCATCTTTTAAATTGATGGATTGAAACAAAAACTTATGCTACCTAAAGTTTAAGCGAACAATGATACATTAAAAAGTGGAATAAATTAGGGATGTAATTAATTCGGCCACTATTCGGCCCTTTTACTGAATACTGAAGTTTTTCGGCCGAATAATGAAGTATATGCTATTATTAATTATTTAGTTTTGTGAAAGCCTTATTAATGGCATCAAGATATTTAAAATATTACAAAAAATACATCAAGTAGTTAATTTTTTTTTAAAATATAGAAAGTTTAAAAAAGCAAATTTGTTAATATTTATTTCATTTTTAATTTAAAATTTGAAAATAACTTTAATTACAATCAAAAGAGAAATTTTTAAAAAGTAAGTACTCGGCCACCGAATATTCGGTATTTGGCCCCGTCACTATTCGTTACATCACACTAGAATAAATACTTATACAAGTCTATAATAACTCATGTTTTTTCAGCTCAGCTCTATACACAACTCTGGATGTTTTAAAAACTAATTATGTAAAAAAAATTTAAAAAAATATATAATGATTAGAGATGAAAACTAATCTGTATAACTTGCTGCTTAAGAAAAGATTATTGCTAGCGGGTTGTACGATGAACTTTTAACAGATTTAGTCTCTATATTTCTTTTAGGCAGAAATATCCTGGATCTTAAAAATTTGGGAGAGTTATACTCAAATGAAACCATTCACGCTAAAATTCTTGATATTCAATTAGATTTTGTGTATTTAAAATAATTTATAAAAGAAATTATCTGAAACTAATTAATTTTTGGCAACAAAACTTAACTTACTAAATTTTCATCCAGTTTGAATAATAATGAATGTCTTCAATATTATTAACACAATTCTTGTAAAGCATAGGATATTTTAAAATATATTTCCAAATGTATGTTCTATAGCTTTTTACTCATTTCATAGCTGCCAACATAGATCAGAAAAAACCCAGTAGATTTTACGAAATAATATAAATTTCAAGATAATTCTTGCTTAATGTACTAAATATTTTACACATAGGGAATCATAGGTACTTTTATAGACATTAAAATAGAAAAAACTGTAATATTCTCCACTCAAGATTGGCATCAAATATGCTCAAAAAATTGTGAATTATATTTTAGTCACAAGTTTGAATAAAAATAAGCATCTAATTCATAAGAATTCATTCATTTGAGAAAAAAAAAAATTTTTTTTTTTAAACTGATTTCTATAAATGAGGCTTGCTTCAATATTAGTAATACTTATTTAAATATTCAAGCAAGTAATTATCGGTGCAAAAATTCTATTTCGATAAGGATTTTTTTAAGGAAACTTAGTCAATTTTTTAAAATGTTCAAACAACAGAATTTTTATAAAACCAGTAAACCAGGAGAAACTGGCAAAATCCAGTCGAGTTGGCATCTATGCCATTTGTTAGCGGAATTTTAAATAATGTCTTCTTCAGGGTGCACAGCACAGCCAAATCGTTCAAAAAAATACAAATAAAAAAAGCTCTTTTTAAGCATTATATACATAACACAATGCAAAATAATTTTCATAGACTTAACCATGAAATTGGGAGGGGGGTGTATTCCATTTTAAAAATTTGATTAGACCTAAATCCATGATTTCTCATGACTTACACTGAATATTCATTATTTATAGCAACTCTTTTAACGAGTGTTAACATAAAAGGGATACAACAAACCTGATCTTCTGGTGACATAATCTGATAATTCCGTTTACTCTTCTCTTTCATTAAAGATTCAGTATTGGTACTGTACATTGGAATTGTACATTTAACAGGTTCTACATCTTCTGCAAAAATAGAAATCAAAGTTTCTTAATCAACGGAACAAAACAAAATACAGATAGTGTCAAGAAATACATAAATCATATAATTATTACTGAGGGGTAGACACAAAAACAGAACTATCATCAGGGTTGAAATAAAAATGCAGTGTTTTCACTGCACATATTATACACAATTGTTGTGCTCTTGTGTGAGCTATATTGGACTAACTATAATGGTTTTCATTGCTGGAAAAACTTAAGAGAAGAAAAAAAAAAAGGCCAACATACTTTTAACAAATAATGTTATAATAAACAAACTATGTAGTTTAATATAGCTCAAATATCTCAGACTGTACTTCAGACGAAAATAAGAAACAAAATTCCCGTTATTTTCCCTATTTCTAAAGAAAAACTGGAATTACCTAAAATACCTAACCTAAAATAACAGGAATTCCCTGTTATTTCAGGGATTTCTATCAAAATAAAATTGGTCTGTAATGAGAGCCATATAAAGTGTGACCGCACAACCGGAAGGAGGCGACTGGCTTTAAACTTAATGCTTTTTTTAAAATTTTCTTCAGAGATAAAAGGAACTATTTAAACTGAATAACTCTTAAAAATTACATTGGAATCTTACATAGAAATCTTACCCTCTATGTTGAAATTTTTTTTTTAAATTACAACACTTCATTTTTACCAAAAGTTGTCATCCGCCCTGTAAGCTAAACATTTTTCAAAACTTGAAAAGAAAGAAAATTTTAAAATTATTCTACAAGAAAAAAAAAACATGACATATTTCTCTTTTAGAACATATGCTTTCTAAAATCTCTATTGGACAAAACAGGAATTTTCGAAATTGCAATGATTCTGTTGTAGATTTCATTTTAAAAAGCGACCGATTCAATAAACCAACCTTTTTTAGCATGTCTACAATCGCATGAGAAAGGCATAAGAATCACGCATTACTCCTAAAGGAGACTATGCTGATGAATAAAGTTAAATTTGGTGTTAATAGTTTTTTTTTATACTAAACATACAATGAACATTTAAGAACTTTTTCATCAAAAATATGATTATCATCTTATCCTTTTTGCACATTTGACTTCATGACTTTTTCTAACAATTATATACAGTGAATAATATTATATATTTTTGTATTTTGTCTGTTTCGAATAATACCAGTCGTTTACCTATTTCTACCACGACCGGCCATTTGACCGGAAGAACAATTTATTGCTTTATAAGGTTATCGGATCAGAAATTAAGATGTAATGCGTATTCAACGAGTTGCACATTTCTACAAAGACTGTTGCGTAGTGAGTTCAATAGGAATAACTGTACATTCAAATTTCAAGAAAGTACCTAACATTTTAGATTGGCATTTCTGTGTCAGAAAAAGTGACAAAAACTACAATTTTAGGTAAGTAGCATATATTTTATTTTGATAGCTTCACTTCATTTCTAACTAACAGTTAGTTTTTACCCAGAAAAATGTCTAAACAATCAAGACCAGCACCAGCTCTTAGAAGAAATAAAATTAATTATAAGAATAATTATAGCAATGATAATAATTCGAAGAAATATGTTTGCGGAAAATGTACATTGGAGATATATATAATTACAATTTTGTTTAATTATGGCTTTGGTAGAAATAGGTTAAGTGTTGGTGTGTTTAGTTTTAACAGCTAGCCTGTAGACTTTTAGTCTGACTTAGTTAAATTGAATGCTTAAATATAACTCACCATCCGTATCATCCAACTTGAAGGTTAAGACAGATTCTTTGAAGGAGGATCGCAGCATTTCTGTATCATCGTCAAGTAACTGATCTTGAGATGCTAAAGTGTTGATGCAAGCTGTTTGAACAAGCATCTGCTTCACACCACCCACTTTAGAAGCACTGCAAATATTGAAACATGCATTAAGATATTTGTTTTCATATATATACCAAGGTTAAACGCGTGATCAATATTTAAAAAGATAAATATACATATACACAGTGAAACTTCTCGGAAGCGACAGCTCTCTACTCCACAGTAATATATTAAATGGAAGTGGGTCGTTCCTCCATCCACTTTATAAAATGTTATCTAAGATACCCGATTGTTCGTGAACCATTTTAATTTTAGCCAGTGTCATTTAGTTGGCGCGGAAATCCCACTTGTTTTGGCCTCGTGAAAACCGGATGCATAGCTCCCAACACAGATATGAAGAAATCAAGTAGATAATAGAAAATACAAATTTTATAATAATCATTGCAAAATATACTGAATATTTTACACATAGGGAATTTAAGGGATTTTTATAGTCATCAAAATAAAAAAAAACTGCAATATTTTCCCGTTTTGATTTCACACTGAATGAATGATCTTGGAATGTTATGCATAATGTTTATTCATAATTTTGAATAGTAAAAGGCGTTAAATGCGCCCAAGATAGTTAACTGAATTTTATAAATGAGGCTCACTTTATTATGTATTAGTGACCAGCAATAATTTGCAAGCCAGCAATAATTTGCACAAAAATTCTAGTTTAATGGGGATCTCAATTTTAAGTCATTTTATAAACTGTACAAAAAGCGGAAGAATTTACGAAACCAGAAGAAGTTTGCATTTAATTTTATTACAAAAATATTAGCTAGCCTTAAAAAATGAAGGTTTGAAACACTTTTTTTCATTTTCTTTTTAAATTTAACTTTCAGGTTTTGAAGATATCTTCTATAGTATTTCAAGATTTCCATGTCTCCCACCAAATGTGGTCGTAAATAGGAGGTCACAACATAGAAGTGGTCATTTAAGGAGGTTACACTGCATTCACTTAGAATACAGTGCAACCTCCTAGTGCATGTTATAACTGAAACATAAATATTACACAGCGAAAATATTTTTTAACAACTCTTTTAACAAAGCAAAAATTAAGGACTTTTTTTTGAAAAAATTAAGGATCTTAAAAATAGTATGATTTCTTGTGACAGTTTATCATTGAATATACATATACCAGCAGCAACAATACCAATTATTTACCTTTCTTAAAAGAAAATCCACAAAATAAAAAAATAATAATAAATAATTTTATTACAATATAAGTACTGATATAATTGTATTTATTAACAGGGCTCGCCAAAGTAGGACCAGACAAATTTTGCAAACCTATGTGGTTTATTTTTTTTAAAAATAAATATTTTCAGATTGCTAAGCGTGAATGACATCTAAGAAACTAATCAAATCCATTTTAATCGATTTCATTGAAACTGAATTGTAAAATTAAGTGCATAAATGACGATTTTATCTGGTTTTAACCGTCATGTCAAAAAATTTTGGCATTGTTTTTGACAATTGTCATATGTAAATCGAATGGCGTTTCCATACACTACGGACTGACGATATGCCGAAATAGATTGGGATTGAAATAATTGGGAAAACCTCGAATAGAACAATGTGAACTGCGTCTTTCGGCATAATTCATGGTGAAAATCAACACGATAAAGGAAAAATCTCATTTTGGAAAAGGGACAATTAGACACTTTTTAAAAATACTCAACGAAAGAAGTACCTTTAAGGGCTTTAAAAACAAAACAAAAATAAGCACTTTTCATAAACGCAAAGCACCCTGTCATTACACATTGAAATACAATGCAGAAGTTAAAAATCTTACCTGGTCTCACTTGGCAGCTGGTCTGACTCGATGCGTACTTTAATTTCAGAAACAGGTTCCGCCACATGTTCACTTCCAGGAATGGTTGCCCGAACATGAATATTCGTAGCTTTACCATCCTCAATATCAATGTCTAACTCAAGTTCAGGTAATGGCAAACGCCAAAACTGAAAATTATTAAACAGATTTTCGTTGTCCACGTGAAGGTAAACGTGCCCCCTTCTGGAGGCGACGTCCAGAGACTTGCGATGGGCGTGTGGAGAGTGATCGATAGAAAAGTTTCTCCGACCAGGTTTTCTCTTCTGAAAATAACTGTGCGAAAAGGGGGGAGGGTTGAAGTCTGCATCGTAGGTCGGTGTCACGTTGAGTCGGCCGTCCTCTAATACGCATCCAGTTTTACTGGGGTCAGCAAATGAATAGATGAAAGCTCCTAAATTCTGATAGGCGCCAAACTTTACCTGCAAAAATAAATAAAATAGATTTAATTTATAATAATTCAAATTCATTTCAATATTTAAATGCAGGGTTGGCGCAGAAATTTCCCCCCAACAAAATAGTTGCTTTTAGTAGCCAACAGCATGAAATGCATTGCCTAAATAAGAATTTTTCAATAATATGACTTAAATTTTATTTAATGACCTAATTGTTGATACCATGATCCGTTTAGTCAAGTTATGTGGCAAATATGATAATTTTTATATGCATGTTAGTGATCTAGTACTAAATTTTTATATCAAAAAATTAGTATATTTGCAGAAAACTAAATACTTTAAATTACTAGAATTCATTCAAAAAAATAAGTTTCCATTAAAAAAAAACTTTTTTCTAAAACAATTTCCCCTTTATCAATAATTGATTTAGCAAATAAGTATATATATATATTGTAAGAAGTGATTACTCAAATTCGAAATTCGGCGGAGTTTCACAGCAAAAACCATTGAAAAGGAGATTAAGAAATGAAATAGACTTCAAATGGAATCTGTGCGAATGGAAGAGCATTAAAAAATGATGACTCAAATTTGAAATTCAAAAATTGAAATTTTATTTTTAAAGAAAAACGAAGTTTATTGTGTTAAAGTAAAGAAGCTCTTGCGGGTAGAAGGTTGTCAACCCAATTTATGGTAAAAAAAATTAAAAATAATAATAAAACATCACTAGGAGTACATAAGTCTCCCAATAGTTTCCTTTCCCTGAAAATAGTTGCTTTTTTTAAAAAAGTCTTTTCAGGCAAAAAAAGCTGCCATAGTCTATCCAGGCCAAAAATAGTTGCAAATAGTCACCAGTGGCAACCCTGAAAATGTATGTTTTAAATATTATTGTAAAATGGAGCAGATCTAGAGCTTAATATCTCGCACTGGTTAAGGAATTTTTCTTTTCTTTTTATAAGCATAGAATTTTTAAAAAGAAAAATTTTCTTTTTAAAAAAAGAAATTCTTTTAATGTGAAAAGAACAATATTAGCTTGCCTAAGTACTTTGCTTTTTTAATGACCGCAGGTTATTAACTTATATTTTCTTTCTTGTCAGAATTACTTATCATTAATTTGTTAATAAATCCATAAAAAATTCTTGAAAAAAAAAAAAAATTTTTTTTTTTAAAGAAATAATTTAACATTTTGTTAAATTAATACCGCTACATATGGCAGAAATAAGTTTGAAAAAAATTGTATAAAATCTCTTGATAGTTCTGTAACTTTAAATAGATTTTTGGCTAAGGACCATTCATAAACTATGTCACGCTTTTAGGGGAGTTTGTTTCGTTCTTGGGGATTATCCTGTCAAAGCTTGCGAAACTGTGCAAATCCTTTGGTATCATTATAATGAAAAGCAATTTCCAAAATAAACATTCTAAACACATTAAAAAAAAGTAACAGTATATTTCAACATACTAAAGAAAACTAACTCGCATAGTCATGCAGGGTGCGTAGCCAAATCATGCAACATAAAATAAGCACCCTTTAAGCACTTTTGAAGAACTCAAAAATATTTTTACGCACTTTAAAAAAATATCATAATTAGGCAGGGTTGGAAAGTTTTTGAGAATTAACGGTTTTATCTTGATATAACAGTCATGTCAAAAAAAAAAAAACTTTTGGCATTGTTTTTGACAAATGTCAAAAATCATGAAATTTTGAATCGTGTAAAACGAATGTTGTTTTCATACGCTACGGACGGACAATGCGCCGAAATAAATTGGGGTTGAATTAATAGTGAAAACGTGGAATAGAACAATGTGAACTTTGTCTTTCTTGCATAATTCGAAGCAAAGATCAATATAGCAAAGGAAAAATTAAGCACTTTTTAAAAACACCCAATAAAAAAAGCCCCTTTAAAGGCTTTTAAAAAACGAAAATCGAAAATAAGCACCTTTAGCACTTTTTAAAAACGCTACGCACTCTGTCATGGATTACATAGTGAATATGACAAAATTTGCAGTTATTATTGCAGAAGCTGCCTTTCGGCGATAATATCAAGTTTGGTAAAAATGGTCGACAGTACAATTCTTTTTTAAAATTGCGACTGTTTCAAAATTTATTTTTTAAAGTTAAAAATAGTTAATCTAGTCATTGTTATGCTGAAAAAAAGTACTTAAAACATAGTTAAAAAACAAATGCAACATCAATCATGAGTAGGGCTGCAAGTTTGTAGCGGGAAAGAAGACCCGAAATTTGAGGAAAATTCTGAAAATTAACCCAGATTCTTAACATAAGCAATTTACTAGATAAATGATACAAGACAGAAATTGTGAAAATAATAAAAAAAAAAGCTTAAAAAATACACAAAAGTTACTTTGAAGCAATATTAATATTTAAATGAACAGAATTTTGGTGCAAAGTATTGTACATTGTCAGGTTATTCTCATTTATGCTTCATCTTTCATCACTTAATACATTTTTATACTTAGAAATCGATCTTTCTGCTTCCACACTGTCTGTAGGCACCGACAAATATCGTATTGCCCATTTCGGATAGCGTTCGGTCTTTGAGATCCAAAACTCGATCAATTTCCCTTCATCAGTGCGCAATTCCTTGACCGCTGCTTTGTAACAAGTAATTGCTGTGAAAACTCAAACATACTACATTTCATGTCATCACTACATTCAAACTACTAGTTACAAATGCTTTATCTCCCTCTCATCTAAGAAACTGATCTCTATTTAAGAAATCACAAGAAGGAAAAATTGCCTGGATATGTAGAAAGACAGTAGACATTTCATTGCCCAGTGCAATAGCCCTTGTTACAATTTTTCTGTCAAAGATTTGATTTATAACATTTTCTTTCTTTTGTGATTCCAATTTCTTTTATACTCTTACTGACTTCAGGGGTAATCCTATCACCCTACCTAAGTGTAGAAAGACCACCTTATGTGACAAGATAGTTATTATCTCTGAGCTATTTTCTTGTTATTTGCTAATTTACAATATTAATATTTTATAATTAGGAATACCGGTATAATAGTTTAAAAAAAAAAAAAACCATTACCCATTAATATATAATTATTTTTCTCCAAATTATAAAACACAGGTAAATATTAAACTACATCATAAGCAAATATTTCTGATGCAAGTGTTTAAATACTACAATACATTTTTAAAAAATAATAATAGTTGTTTAAGATTCAATTTAGTGAAATGATTAGTAACAGCTATTGGAATAGTATTTCCCAATAAAAAGCTACTAAAAATAACTTCTGCACAATAATCACAGGAAGCGCGATCAGAACAAGGGATTGGCTCAAAAGCAAAAATACAGCAATTTTACTAAAATGCAGATTTATTTATAAAAACATCAGATTTGATTTAAAAATTAGGAAAAAATCTGGTCAGTTGACAGCTATGTATATAGATATAATTAGGATCTGTGCAGTAATAAAAAGGTTTCTTCTATCATTATAAGCTCAATTCATAAGCATAAAATCAATAAAATTTAAAATCATGCATTTTTGCAACAAAAACTAAGCACTTTTTACAAACCCTGAATAATAAAAAAGCCACCTTTAATGGCTTTTAAAAAACTTAAATCAAAATTAAACACTTTTTAAAAATGTTACGCTGCCTGTTAAAATAAATAATGCTACAGTAAATGAAATAGTTTTAATATACAGGGGTGATTGCGAGCCCAAGTCAAAATTCCGGAAAATTTCTTGAGTTAAAAAAACAAAACAAAAAAACAGTTTAAATTGAAAAAAATTTAAACAAGTTTCTTTTTTTCTTCCTTTTTCTCAATATTTCTTAGTTTACTTAAAATATATTTAAAATTTTACACATACCTATACCTGGAGAAGTAATTAAAATATACAAATATGTCTTTCTTTCTTGAGTTTAACAACTATTTACTGATAAAAAATTAGTATTAATCATGAATATAAGCTTATAAAGCATCTCTCTGGCTCACCCTTACAAACAAATAAAATGTGTTTTTAAGTTCCACCTTTGAAAATTTGATTTCCGGAAACTTCTGTGATTAATGATTTTTCGAAACGTCTGGACCTTCGATCTCCGGAAACTTCCGGATCACTGTTAACGAAAAATCCGGATTTTTTCCGGAGCACAATCATCCTTAAATATCCCGTATATTGTGTATATCCAGTATATTGCGCCACTATTTTTTAAAAGACGAAAATAAGAAACAAAATTCCCTGTTATTTTGTGTGAATTTTAAATTCCCTGTATTTTCCAGGTTTTCCCTGTGGAGTGGCNGATCTCCGGAAACTTCCGGATCACTGTTAACGAAAAATCCGGATTTTTTCCAGAGCACAATCATCCTTAACTATCCCGTATATCCAGTATATTGCGCCACTATTTTTTAAAAGACGAAAATAAGAAACAAAATTCCCAGTTTGTAAAGGAGAAAAAAAAATCAAAATTCCCTGTTATTTTGTGTGAATTTTAAATTCCCTGTATTTTCCAGGTTTTCCCTGTGGAGTGGCAACCCTGAACATGCAATAATTGATATGATAAAAATGAACTTACGTAACAAGAGTTATCAGTCAAGAGATTGAGAAATATATGAGGCAAAACCTCCTTCCTGGTATCTGGCTTTACAGAATTCGCAACATCCACAAATACATCAGCGCAGGCTTTTCTGACACCCCACTTTATGTCATTACACAAATTCAGAAAGGATGGAAGCTGAAATAAACAACAATGGTTTTTTTAAAAAACTTTCTATGCAATAATGAAAGAACTATTCATAGCTGCCAACATGGATAGGAAAAAAACCAGCAGATTTTACGAAATAATAGTAATTTCATTAATTTAATCGATTAATTTTTATAGAACTGCTGACAAATCTTTCGTATGGGGCGAGTCTACCCATTCTACTAAAATGAATGTTACAGGGGTCTGTCTAGGTTTTTCTGAAAGGTACCTATTTTGTGAAAATTTAGACATAATTTGTGAAAAATTAAAAATTATATTAAAAAATCAATAGAAAAACATGGTAAAAATATAGATTTATTGCTTCTTAAGGGATACAAAAGTAAAATTTTAAGAAAAAGCATTTTGTGAAACTACCGTTTTCCCTAAAGTTGAATTTGTGAAACTACCGTTTTACTTGGGGTGATGACGTCACTTCCGTTCCTCCAATACCCCGGCTTACTACTGAATTAAAAACTATAAAATATAAAATTGAACTATAAACTATAAAATTGAATTTGTGAAGGTACCGCTAAACGGTAGTAAATTCGACCTGGACAGACCCCTGTGTTAACATTGTAAATAATCAAATTTTACTATTAAATTGTTATTTTAGTTACTATATAGGATATTTATGAAGTAAAATTCATAACTTTATTATATATTCCATTTTTTTATTCATAAAATAACACAAATTGAGTATTTGATCGATTATCACATTTTGATCACAGTTTTGTTTTTATAATCATTAACATTATAAAATAACATTTTTTTCTGATTATTGTTGATAAAAATAAATTAAAATTAATATAAATTTACAATTAAATAATTAATAAATAATAATAATTAAAGATTATTAACAAAATCGAAATTCAAACATTGGGAATCATGAAAAATCCTTTTCCCATTCTTTTGGGAGGTAATAATAATTTATAAATAATAATTTATTTAACTTGCATTAAATAAAAAAAGTTAATTTTGTAATATAAAAATTGAAAAAATAGGTAAAATAAACATATTTTATATTTACATTTATATTTAACCTATAAATTTTCTTATTAATGATAAATTTATCAATGCAGAATTAAAATAATATACTCAAATTCATTTAAAATGACTTAATTTTAATATAAACAAAGTTCTAAATTATATTATTATGCTTTATTAAAACTAAATACGAATGGGTAGACTCGCCCCGCGAATTCTGGCTTTTTGTTTACAACAGCAAAACTTACATTCTTTTTGTTTTTTTTTATATAAAATTAATGTAATCTTAGTCTTAGATAAGTTTATCACTTAACCAAAGTGAAAATAGTAATAACAATATACTTACGGAGCACCAACTAAAAGTTTGCTGATTTTCAATACAAATCTCTCAAAAGACGTTTGAACAGGTCGGTTAAAAAGACACCAAATAAATAAAAACGGATCAAAGTACTACAGTGCCATCTTCCTTAGAGTCTGAACTAAGTTCTCCGTCGGTAAAATTTTTTTTATTCGCAATTTAAAATAGTGAAAATTAAATAAAACTAAAATGGGTAGACTTGCCTCGGTTTACGGTACTTAAATTTTAAATGTTTTTTTATTATAATAACTCATAATTTTAATACCAATAAGGAAATAATTTATTACTGATAGCTGAAAGATTTTTTTACATTAGTTTAAAAAGGGAATTCTGAATAAAAATAAACAGAAAATGATAGGTATAGCTAAAACTGTTATACTTTGCATCTTAATATTTATTGATTTTAAATTTAAAAAGTAGAGTAAAGAAAGAATTAAAGCAATAAAATAGCTGAGCAAAAAAAGTTTTTTTCTTCTGCAGAATTATATCCTAAAGATACTTTTTTTGTTCATCAGAAAGGAAAGAAATATTCCTGATTTTTCTGTTCTCATTTTAGAATTAAAAAGAAAAAATGCCAATGACTGGCTTGCTTTAGCTAGAATTTTCAATTGATAAAATAGAAATTAATAAATAATAATTCTGAAATCACAGAAGTTTAAAAGATAATTCGCTCTAGAAATGTTTTTTCTTTCATTTTTTGAAAGAACACCGTAATTTTTAAAGAACATGATAAAAACCTTTTACATTTTTAAAAAAACTATTATTTGTACAATAAAATGAAAGATAAACAAAATACAAGTTAAAACCTAATCATAAACCAGTTTCTAGCTCTTTTCAAAAAATTTTTGTCTTTAGAATCAATATTTTTAAATGCAGACAAACATAAAACCTAATAATCCAGTAAAAAGAAATATTCAATAATCTAATGAGATATCTTATTGCAACTGCCAAAAAAGCCCTACAAAAAACCTAGATTTCAATGAGGGCATTCGCTTCAGTTAATAAACACTTTTAATCATTACCAAAGATAATTCAGTAGAATCGACACCCACAACTTTGCAGAGGGTTCCAAAGCCTGCAGCACAAATCTATAATGGAAGTTAAAAACAAAATATTTAAATTCATATTATGAAGTATACGTGGAACAATTCTGAAATTTAAAAAAAAAAAAATTGAAAATGCATTACCTTGCGAATGCCAAATAGTGGATCACAACAAAGATGGACGAATGGTTCTAGAAAAAATTTCACAGTAATTTCTTTTCCAACTAATGGTATCATCTTGCTCATCAGCTGAAAATGAAAAATCAAAATAATTAGTACTATTTTGACCAAACAGACTTTATAATTATAGCTAAGCAGAAAATTTAAGAACTTCCACAAGAAAAGCTTCAAAATCTAGGAAGTAGATGGGCACTATACTTAAAAAACAAAATAAAATTTTTTTTCTTAGTTTTGTAGAGTTAAAACAAAAAAATTCTTTACATTTCACGAAATTTCAATGCCCAATCATACTGCTTTACTTAGTAAAAATATTGCACATCAGAAATGCAAGGAAAAAAAAAATTTTTTTTAGCAAAATTTACTCTCATGAAACAAATTATATGCAATTGGTAAGAAATTTTCTATCACTGGTTAATAAGAGTAATTTATAGTTAACAAGAGTAATGGTTAAAACAGTTCAATCTTTCTTGTAAATGAGAACAGTAAATCCTTATTTTTAACAATATAAAAAATAATTAAAATGCTAAAGAATTATAACTTTAGAATGAAACTTTATGCTAAAGAATTATAACTTTATGAATTACTTATACTTATGAATTATAATGAAACTTTATGCTAAAGAATTATATTGGACATTTTGAATTTTCTGGGGGGGGGGGGGAAGTAGGGTGCGAAGTCAGACTTTCCAACAAGAAAATAAGTACTTCATAATTGATTAAAAAATACTTTTAACCATTTTTTAAAAAATAAATAATTAAGATTTGCAGGAATAAAAATTATTTCTTTCAATTGTTTAAAGTTCTCTTATAAACATAAAATCAACAAAATGCAAAAACATTTTCAGACTTCACATAATTATGATAAAATAACTAGTTTTTGCTGTAAAGAAAATAGCGAAGATCATGTTTTTTTTTTTTTTTTTAAACTTACGATGACAATCGACACAACCGAGGAAAAAAAAAATCTAATTTTGAAAAATAGAAGCACTTTTTAAATCCCAATTTTAAAAAAAAGTAACTCCCAGGGCATTAAAAAAACAAGCATCTTTTAAAAGCGCTACGTAGCCAAAACATTTATTTGGAGAGAAAAGAAAGCCAGCCCTACATAAATGGAAAAAGCTTTTACCAAAATTCCTCAAGAAAACGTCAATTCTATATAAATTAAAATGTTGACAATTTGGTGAGGTGAGACTGGTATCTTCTTTAATGATGAACTCTCCAGTTGAAGTTCCGCTCATCAAAGCTGGCTGTGATATGAAGCATAAATCTCTAACATGTCACAGCCACTTTGACAACCAGAAACACAACCACAACTTCTTCTTGATGATGAATACTTCAATGCATTCACACTCATCAAAGCAGCTGTGATATGAAATATTATTTCAACACACATATAACAGCCACCTTGAGAGAGGGGACACACGCACACATCATCTTCTTCAACCGCTGCTACACACAAAAAAGTCAAATACATGTTAGAGCACAACATAAATATTACATAGCTTTAGTTCCAGGGAGGGTACGGATTTGTGTTCGTGATTTTTAGATCATGTGAATACAAATTGTGATGCAAGATTTTCAAATAGTGAGAGATCATTAAGGCAGAAAAAAGGGCAGGGTGCAAAAGTTTAAAAAAAAGGCATTATTATTCTAAAAAGATAATTTCTTTCTATGGGCTTTACACGTTCTATTAAAAAAAAACATTGCCAATTTTTTTTTCTACTTCACTAAAAGTACCAAAGCACTCATATTAATAACTAATTTTTATTAATAAATTAACATATATATATCAATTAGCTTAGTAATTTATTTAAAATGCATGCATATATTAATAAAATAATAAATGGGTCTTTTTAAGTGTCTGTAGTTATGATTTAATGATAGTGAAGTAACTGCAAACTTGTCTAAGTCCATGAATCTTTGGAATATCAATGAAAACCATGACTTTCCATAATTTTTTCTAGGTGCTCAGACACCCTGTTACATAAATTTCTCAGACTTAGACATAGAATAATTACGTCGGGATCGTTACGTCATTTCTCTGAGAGTTGTAACCAGAATGTTTACCAGACAATTTTAATTTCTTTAAAAATAAAAACAGTGAGATAGGATATTTAAAATAAGATAGATCATATAAGAGAATTAAATTTTTCCAATAAATATTAGCATGGCTTCTTGAAATACAACTTTTGCCAATAAGAGTTGGGTTTTCGTGAAGTGAATCCGACTCTGAGTGAAAAAAAGAAAAATTTCATCAAATAAAATAAAAATCACATTTTTTTAACAGGATAAATGAAATAATCTACAACGATCCAAAGCATTTATCATTTAATTACAAACAGATCGAAAAACTGCATTATCTCCCAGAATAAATGTGTTTATGATTTCAAAACAAGAATAAAACTTCAAGCAATGCACTATTTACTTAAGAGTTTCCTTTGTTTATAATCTTTCAGAAAAAAGAAAATGCACATTTCTTAGTTAGTAAAACTTTTAAATGACCTCTAAATTAAGAGGCTAGTTTGACATTAGAGAAAATATTACTACATTAAGAAAAATTATGTTACACATAAAGTATGCAAAAATATCTGCAAACTCTGCTCTTTCTGAGGAATGTGATATAATTACAAAAAAAAAAAACAATACTTCTTATTCATAACTGGTTTAAGTAGTTATCTTTCCATTAAGCAGGGAATGAAGAAAAGCTTTGTAATGAGAGAAAAATTTAGTACTAATATCGTTCTGAAAGATATTTTTATTAGTAGCAAATACATTTGTTACTAAATTAAAGTAACAGAAGCTCCTTCTATTTACAAAAAAAGAAGCCTTCATCTATAGAATAGAATATAACATATATTTTTTAATTATAAATGTAAGAATTTTTAAAAAATCTAAATCTAGAATTTTGCATATTTTAATATTTTTGGCAATATTCTTCTGTTCCTTAAAAAAAATTGCACAGTTAACCTTTTTTAAATCTTTACTATCTAGGAATTGCTTTTTATAATATAAATCTGAAATTCTAGCTAAAGCTAGTCTTAGCAAAAAAGATTTTTTAATTCTCAAAAGAATGTAGGAAAAATAATTACGAACAATTATTCCACAAGAAAGGCATTTTTTAAAAATATAATTCTGCAGAAAGGGGGAAAAGTTTGGTAGAAAATTCATTAAAAAACTCTGCTGATTAAAAAAAGCCCCAAGTCGCTTTGCTTCCTGAATAAAAACTCTGTCAACTCGGTAATGTTTTGCAACTTGTTGCTATTATTCTGCCATGGAGAAGAGATCCAACGTGCTAAAATTGTAGATTAATTTAGAATCAATTTTCCAGACATAAGGTGCATAGCCAAATCTTTCAACAAAAAATAAGAACCTCTCAAGCACTCAAAAAAATATTTTTAAGCCCTATATACATTAACAAAATGCAAAATAATTTTCAAAGATTTTACATGATCATGATAAAATAACTCGCTCCAGACAAAAAACTCTTTTCTTGATTACATTAGCTACAATAAAAAGATCAAAATATTTTTCGGTTTGATTCAAGAGGGTGGAAAATGAAGCCCGAAATTGAGAATATCTTACAAAATGCAGTGGAGTTGAACACAAGAGTGCTAGAATCTTACCCAACCCAGCTTAGATTCAGCTGTATTTCATCAAACATGTAAAATTATGGATGCTTTCATGTGCCGCGAACCGACGGCACACCGAAATGGATTGTGGTAAGGTAGAATAGAACTATGTGAAAAGCACGCTTTTGCATAATACATGACAAAAAACAGACAATGCATAGCTGCCAACATTGATCGGAAAAAAAAAACAGTTTTAAGAAATAATATCAATTTCATGATAATTGTTGCTTAATGCACTAAATATTTTACGCATACGGAATTTCATTGTCATCAAAATAGAAAATCTGCAATATTTTCCAGCTATGTTTGACACTAAACATACTTAAAATGTTACGTATATTCATAATTTCAAATATAAATGGGCATTTCATTAATCAGAGATGGTTAAAAATTCTATTTCAATAGGGATTTTTTTAGGAAACTTAATCCATTTTTGGGAATTTTCTAAAATGTACAAGAACAAAGAGAATTTCAAGTAAACCAGTAGAAACTGGAAAAATCCAGTAGAGTTGGTAGAAAAGGGAAAATGAACCACTTTTTTAAAAGCACCCAATAAAACAAGCACCTTTAACGGAGATCGAAATCATCAGGGGTCTGTTTAGAAGAAATTTGAGTCCGTTAACGGACCCTTCACAAATTTGTTTATCTTCATTATTGTTTTGTTAATCAAATAAACCCTTCCTAGGAAGTGGGGGGGGGAGGATGACAGATGTAAACGAACTAAATTTTGTCTTCGACAGACGCTTCTTCCTTTATTCGTCCAAAATGAATATTCTGCGTTCAGCAGTATAGGCTAAATACCAAATATTTATATGATGCATCCCTAATTTAGTAGCTGCCATTGCTGTTTATTTTTTAAAATATAATTTTTTTAATTATATATTTACAGTGTTGAGCATCATCTTGTATGTCTTTATAATTTAAACACTCCTTGCAAACGTTTTTTTGCAATAACAGGACCCTATTTGCACACATTCACAAAAGCAGAACCCTGGTTGAAAGAATGTGACTCAACTTTATTTCATATTCACAAATTACGAGTCATTTTTTCACAATTTTACAAAAAACGGACCTTTCACAAAATGTCTGGACAGACCCCTGATCAAGCACCTTTTAAAAATGAGGCATTCATCTTACTACCACAAAAAATGATCATGTTATACAGGGCTGCCACTGGATGAAAACAAGAAAAATAGTTGAATTAGTTGCATCATACATGAAAAAAAGTCTCCAAGATATATAAAATAGTTGCTAACATCATATCCTCCTCTTAACATAATTTTAATTATTTGTGCTGTAATAGCATAAAATTCAAATAACATGCAGTTAGATACTCATATTTTATAAAAAAATGTACATTTATTTGTGGATTTGCCAACAATACATTCTTTCACATTACGCATAAAAACAGGGAGTTTTATTTTTATCTGTTACAGAACAGTTGAATTTGAAACTTGAATTTCCTTTCTCTGTTCTAATTTGCTTAGTTTAGACATTTAAAAAACAATAATAATAAATATTGCAATTTAACTATGTTTTATTTTGTTTATTTTTCACAACTGACACATTTCCAAATTTTAATGCTTATCAAAAAAATTACGATCACTACTCGACAAAACGAATATCCCCATGTACTTTTTTTCTATTCTAAATAGCTCTAAAAAAATTTACAACACATTTTGCGTAATTAAAGACAATTTTTCTAATTTTGCTACTTCGTTCAAATTTAAAGAGGGGAAAAAACTTAATCCTCAGAGATATTACATAAGCTTTCTGAAGCAGGAGGAGCATTCACGTAGTGCGAATTCCAATTCCATCAGTCTGATAGGTTAAATATGTCTGTCATGCTTTTGACATCAAACAGTGAGAAATAATAAAGTTGGGATAAAACGAAACAGCGGCAAAAAAAGTGGGGGACTCATGAAGCTATTCTTCATTTTAGTCGCTTTGGCTTAAGAAAGGCGCCGATTTCACGCAAATCATTGCAAATTAGTTGCTTTTACTCATATTTCTACTAAAATAGTCGCCATAGTTGCTATTGCTTTAAAATAGTCATTTTAGTCGCCTTTTTAGTCTCCAATGGCAGCCCTGTGTTATACATCCTTGCACTAGCAATTGAAAAAGAATGTACAAAACAATTACTTACAATGCAGGATGGATGAAGGAGACGCAGAAGAACCTATGAGATGCGCATCAAATGTGGCTGTGATATGATATGGAGAAACAACACATTTCACAGAGCACATTCGACGACATCGCAGAGGGTGGTGGTTAAGAGAGAGAGCCTGTGTGGGTGTGCCACTTTCCGTCAAAGACAAGGTAGTGAGATGAAACTATTTACACACATCTCACTACCCATGTCTTTCACAGAACAAAAGCATTCTGACCTCCTGTTAGAAGAAAAAGGAGAGGGCAAATAAGAAAACTTACTGAAACATCTTCTATCCTGAGTTCTTCCAAGTTAATTTCGCACGAGACCAATTGAGCCACCAAAGGGCAGATCCACTCCACCAGTTGAGCTGCAAAATTAGTTGAGAAGTTTTACAAAGCAATTGAGCGTCAGAAACACTTCATACAAGAACAATTGATCAGGGTGCGTAAAAAATATGAAGGAAAAAAAAATCACATTTTTGGAAAGGGAAAATTTAGCATTTTTTAAAAACACCTAATGAGAAAAGCACTTAGAAGGGCTCTTAAAAAACAAAAATCGAAAACAAGCACCTTTAAAAAACACTATGCACCATACCATTTAAAGTGAGCCCAGACAGTTCACTAATACAAGCTTTGATTATAATACAAATGTTAAAACTTACACTGTTCAATTAAATTTTTTTCAAGCAGCACTAACAATGCAGATTGGCCAGCCCTCCGTATCTAAGAAAGATATGGTGAAAAAGTTTAAGACACAGGATATTAGAAAGAAAATAAATAAAAAAATATTTATCATGACATACCATCAATTGAATATCAGTCAACAACTTCACGGTATAAGGCATCAACTGCTGCCGAATGACGATGCGAAGATTTGGCTCGCTTTGACAATAGGATGCGATGGAAGGAATGTGTTGCATCAGTTCAAATTGCACCATCGCTTCTGAAATTTTTTTAAAAAATAAATAAATTTAAGAAATAATTTTATAAACACAGGTAAAAATCTATTTTATACACAATTTTAGTTGGAAGAAATTCTTCACACCTACAAATTACAGGGGAAAAAAAAGTCAATTGGTGTAAGTGGGCTTGCACACGTCAAGGACCCCACTGAGCTATGCTGGTGGTAGAGTTGTTACTGGGCAGACCAATATACATAACTACAACATGGATAACTAAAAATCCAATAGAGCGCTGATTATCTGAACTGCTTGGGACAAAACGCGGTTCGGATAATGAAAACTTGGGATAATCGGAAAGTTATTTAAAACATAGTTTAAATCAGGGTTGGCTTTTTGCCAACATAAGCTGGTTTTTGCCATGCCAGGGGTAGAAACTGGTTATAACCGGCCAAAACTGACAGGAACTAAAAATACATCTATATTAGTTCTAGTAATTGCTTAATGAGAATTGTTTAAGTATACTGAAAAATGTAACTCCATATAACTGTAACAAACTTTTTAATTCATTGTTTGTAAATATATATGATTTTGTTTACATTAATTATAGAGAGTGCAGTAAATCAAATATTTATATAAAACAAATCGGACCCATTTCCTGAAACTTATTTTTCCTGTCAAGTTTTGACAACTACCCCAGCTGCTACTTGGTGGTCCAGTTTTAAAAAATATACAATAGATGAAAGTTTCACAAATCTTGCTTGTTCCTTGATGGCAATGCCTGCTAGTTCTGCTGGACTTAAGAGAATCTTCTCAAATTTCTTGCTCGTGCATAGGCAAATTGAGAAACTGCTTAGGTTTAGAAACTGCATCAGAAATTGTCTTTTGTTATAGATTACTGCAGAGTGCAAACAATGCAATATTTGATTTTGAATGGTGATAATTTTATAAATGAATTGTACTTTGTTTAACATTGAATTGTTTTGCCTATGAATTATCCATTGTATGTCAATCTCAGTACTTACTTTTATGTCATTTTCTGAATTCCTGCCACAAATGTGGCAGAAAAGGGTTTCTGCCATGCCGCTTTTAACCGGTTTCTACCAGTGGTTTTAACCACTTTGGCAGAAACTTGCCAACCTTGGTTTAAATGATCGTTATTTATGCACTAACTTCTCTTCACACTTTTTCCAGGCTTAGGACTGGCAGTACTATCTAAAATAGCTCTGGCATGTTTAAAAGTATATATTTTTTCTAATTTTAAAACATTTTTTTAATAACATTTCAGCTTTTTATAGTTTTTTTTGTCAATGATTGATTTTACCACATTTTTCTTTATTTTCCATTGCAAAAGAAATCCAGCAAAGACTTTTCTTTCAAAGATGCTCTTTTTTGAGCAGCCTTATTTTTTAAAAATAAGTCAACTGAACTGGATCAACACTATTTTGACGTTCTAAACCAGGGGTTTCCAACTTTAACAATTAAAAACACCAGTCAAATGGTGAGTCGCAACTTTATCAAAATTTTATATAAGACTCTTCAATGTTTAAAGGAACATTAAATATTACTGTCAGACTTTTATCAAGTTACACAAAACAAGAGTATTGAATTACAAGTTAAAATAAGAAGTCGATTTTTTCAAAAACATTATATTGCATATTAAAAAATTCTGGCTACAATAGCTTTAATGTGCCAAGATATAAAACTTAAAAAAGTATTTAAAACCCATTTAGATTTTTTTATGCAAATTGTCCTTAAAAAACGACAACTAATATATTTAGTGCAACAGCATAGCACTGAAAATTGGAACCCAGCGTTTTCACTACAGCGCGAAGAACGCAAGAATCTCGCATATTTTTTCTCGCAACGAAAAATGACAAGCGCGAGAAGTTCGTGTACTCTATTAATAAATTTCAAAATGCTCGAATTTTGGAAAAAATTTCGTCTTTTGCCATTTCGAATAAAATCCGTTTTACTTTTTTTCCTTGATCTTTCATTATTTTGAACATTGGTCCTTGTTATCTAGCTTCCCTATTTACCAGTATTGTTCAGAACCTGTGCGAACAGCAGAGCACCACCCCCCTGAACCCCTTCAGAACACATTTCTCTGCAACCATGTGTTCACCGTAGGTAAGGTTTCTCCATGTAAGACGTTTACATTTTTTGTGCATGAATGTAAGATGGACAAATACCTTGTTAAGGCGACATCTTCTACTCCGTAGAGGACAAATGAAAATGAAACAAATGAAAAATGACGGTCAAAACGAAACAAATACGGATATTTTTCAGCCAAATAAATATAATAGCTGATGAACAAGTAGATATAGAACAAAGAAAATCCCCCCCCAGTCTATTCGTGTTTTTTTAATATTTAGAAATCTCACCCTGGTATTTGAGAAAGGGTGAGAAATTCTCTCCCATTCTTTTTCTGTAATAAAAACACTGGAAGCATAACATAACTGAAATTATATTCAAAAGATCAAGTATAGTAATAACAAAAGTCACCTTCATCTTCACTCAGTTTACACATGACTGAAATGACAGATTGTAATTCTTTTTCATCAGAACCAGCTTGCTGTAGGGATTCCAAAATTTTTCTGGCTGCCATTTGCCTGCAATTACATCAATACTTTAAGATTGAATAAATGTCTCACACATTAACATAAAATTCCAATATAAGTTTTAAAAAAATATTTCACTTCAAAAACCTCAGGAATGGAAATTAAGATATTTTAGTTACATTTTTAATGCAATAATGTCAATCAAATAAAATACATCACAATATGAAATAAAATTAGGATTTTTTTTTTGGCAATAATTTTGTTATTTATTAAAAAAATAGCAAAATGCACATGATTGCATTTCTGTGGAGGGAAAGTGCAGATTGGCTCACTATTTTTAACTTGCAATGTAAATGTGTGGAAATTAGGATCTGCTCTTTTTTGTTTGTTTGTCAGAACATGGTTAATAATTGCTTAACATATGGGTGCACAACTTGCCGTCTGCTGGCCAATTGAGGTCGACCAACTGTGTGGCCTGCGGGAACTTCTGAACACAATAAATTGGCTTTTGTTTAAACATAAATTTTCATAAATTAAAATATTAAATCCAATTTATATCACTCCAAAATGCTTATATTATTTGTACTTCCATTTGCACTTGGTTAGAATTTATATCTCCCCCTCCCAATATTTATGTGCATATGTATATACATTTAATAAAATAATTATTTTGAAAAATGGAAAATTTTTTTAAAAAATATTAATTTTTTAAATTTTAAATAAATTCAAATAATTAAAAGTATTTAATTTTCAGCAAATATGTTATTAAGTTCACTTATAAAAATATTTAGTGCTTTGGACATTAATATTTATATAAAAATTACCACACTTGCCGCTAACATAACTCAATATGCGTGCGGACAGTCACTCAAAAAGGTTGTGCACCCCTCCCTAGCTTAACAAATTATATATTGTCGCATAATGCTTATGATAGAAGAGCACTATCTTTTATAGTAAAGGCGGCCTATTATCACAGCAGTTAGATTAAAGAAGAGACATACACTTATTTAGTCATGCAGGTGGCAAATAACATAATTTTTAAACGTAAGGGTTCAAAGCACTTCATTTCTTTTATAAAAAAAGTACTGTATAAGTACTTTATAATTAAGTACTGCTAATTATTATAATTCTCTTAAAAATGAAAACAATTGATACTTTTTCAACAAAAAATAAATAAAATATAAAAAATGGGAAAAAAACTTGAACAAAAGCCTTTACAGTACCAAATAAGATTCGATATAAAATACTACAGATATTATTTTGATTCCTTGAAGCAATCGAGGTTCCATGAGTTTAAAGTAGAAAATGCTTATTTCTTAAAAAAAAATCAAAAATCACAAAAGCAATAAAAACAAGATAAATTACTAACAGTGGGTACTTTAAAAATTAGCGTTTTGCTCAAGTTTTTGTATTTTTCATGGTACTAAAATATTGGTATTCAGGGTATCTACTAAATTTCAGATTTCCAAATTCATGACTTAACGAAGTTACTATTTTCTCCGACAATAACACAACAATAAATTTAAAAACCATTATAATTACATTAATTGAAATGATAGGTACAACCAAAACTGTTATACTCTTCATCTTCATAGATTTTAAATTTAAAAAACAGCATAAAAAAAAAAAGAGTTGGAGTAATAAAATAGTTGGAAAAAAAATACAAAAGCAAATATTTTTTTTCCTTCTTATTTTCTGCAGAATTATATTCTTAAGATACTTTTCTTGTTCATGGGAAAAGTAAAAAATACTTCCGATTTTTCTGTTCTCATTTTCGAATAATAATATATAAAAAAAAATCGCCTATGACTTGCTTGCTTCAGTTATAATTTTAAATTGATAAAATAAAATAAGTAAATAATAAAAATTCTGAAATCACAGAAGTCTCAAAGATAATTTGTTCTAGAAATGTTTTTTCTTTCATTTCTTTGAAAGAACACCATAATTCTTAAAGAACAGGATCAAAACATTTTATATTTTAACAAAATATGACTGTGGGCGATGGGTGAGGATTTTGTTACAAATTCAGATATTCAGAACACCCACCCTGTAATGGGGGGGGGGATTCCATCTTAAAAATTAGATTTTTCGAGGATCTACATCCATGACTTTCCACGCTTTAAAAAAAAGTTAAAATCATGACAAATTTTGTTCAATACTAAAATTCATGACTTTCCAGGTGCGGGGATACCCACCCTGGTATTCTAAATACCACATAAAAATTCATAGTGCAAACTTCAAAAAAAAAAAAAAAAAAAAAAAAAAAAAAAAAAAAAAAAAAAANAAAAAAAAGATGAAAATAACTTATTTACCATTAAATATCAAAAAGTGATTATTTATATTAAAAAAGCTAATAGAAATTTGTGCTGTAATAACATCGTAAATAAACAAAGAAGTAATTTTTTCANGACCATCGAGAAAGAGCGTATACTGTAGAACCACAGTTATTAGGTTTTTTTTTTTGGGGGGGGGGGGGGGGATGTAAATAGATTTAATAAAGAATAATTTAAAATTGTATCTTTTATAAAAATAATATAATAAATAGTCAAATCGTAAATTCACAAAATTTATTACGAAATAGAAAAACTGGCATCAGTAATTTCTAAGATCTTTGATAGAGGACTATAGATCTAATTTCATGAGCTGAGAATAAGAGGACTATAGATCTAATTTCATGAGCTGAGAAGAGGACTATAGATCTAATTTCATGAGCTGAGAAGAAGACTATAGATCTAATTTCATGAGCTGAGAAGAAGAGGACTATAGATCTAATTTCATGAGCTGAGAAGAAGAGGACTATAGATCTAATTTTATGAACTGAGAAGTCTTTTCAGTTACTTGAGTAGGCAAAAAAACTGTTACTTCTTTCTACTTTTCAGGATATTTTTGAATAAGGATCAGTTGTCTTCCTTAAGAAATTTTATATGTATTTATTAATTTTTTCTGCTTTAGTATTTCTAATATTATTTGAACGTCTCAAAATCTCTAACTCATCATAGGAAGAGAATGAGAAACCGCAGTCCCGTGGCGACATTCGTGCAGAAAGATTTCTCATTCGGGAAGAAAAAATTTTGATTATCTTTTCAGCAAAAATGTTTGACATTTTATTACAAAAAAATAAAAACACGCATTTAGTAACCCCCCTTTTTTATGAGTCTGATTCTCGTGATTTTGTCAACGATATTCTTTCGATAGATACTGCTACGAATTTCACAATTTTTTTAAAATTTTTTCTTAATATGATTTACAAAAAGCAAATGATTAGTGTGCTTTCCTCCTACAAAATGCAAGAATATCTATACTATTAGAATAAAGAAAAATATCACATATTTAATTGAAAAAAATTATTTGACCCGAAAAGTTTTATTTTTTAAAAGTTGACGCGATTGTGACTTTACTTTAGTAACATATATAATTGAAGGGTCTGTCTAGGTTTTTCTGAGAGGTACCTATTTTGTGAAAATTTAGACATAATATGTGAAAAGTTAAAAATTATATCTAAAAATCCAACACAAAAATATGACAAGAATATGGATGTATCATTTTTTAAGGAAAACAAAAATAAAATTTTAAGAAAAAGTATTTTGGGAAACTACCATTTTTCCTAAAATTGAATTTGTGAAACTACCGTTTTTCCTAAAGTTGAATTTGTGAAGGTACCGCTAAACGGTAGTAAATTCGGCCTGGACAGACCCCTGCANAATCGTTTTAGATCCTTTTATTTATGTGTTTCATCGAGAGCTAATAAATAACATATTGGTTTGAAAATTATAAATCTTCTCAAACATAATTGTATTTTTATTCCATTAAAATTTTCAGAAAAGGATTTATTGCTATGAATTTTAAAAAAATATTATTTTCATGCATAGCTGTAATTAAACTTTTTGGTATTAATTCTTTTAATATAAATGAAACATTTCATTAACAGAAAAAAAAAGAATTATTTTTGTAACTGAATATTTGGCAAGATTAGATTCAATGAAATCATTAAAAATGGAATACGGATTAGTTTCATAGATGACGTTAACCTTTTATATTCTGAAAATGTTTTTAAAAAAACCAATCCAGATTTGCAAAAATTGACTGCTACTTCTTTGGCCAGCCCTGTTAATTAAAATGTTATATCAGGGCTTACATTATAAGGGGTCTGTCCAGACATTTTGTAAAAGATCCCGTTTTTGTAAAATTGTGAAAAAACTATTAATAATTTGTGAATATAAAATAAGCATTAAGTCAAATAGTGTCCTGTTATTGCAAAAAATTGCAGATAACTTTTTCAAGAAGTTAAATAGATACAAGATTCTGCTCAACAATTGCTGCTACTAAATTAAAGAAGCAGCATACACATATTTGGTATTTAACCTATACTGCTCAACACAGAATATTCATTTTGGACGAATAATGGAAACAAAATCACTTACATTTTTAATAATTTCAATTGACATTTTTTAAATAACACAACTTAGTAATGTATCCCTTTTAATGTGCTACGCATTAAGAAAACTTAAACAATTCTTAAATTTATAATATTTTATTTAAAAAATTGCCAGAAATAAATTTTTATTCACATAATATTCTATTAATTTTATGAATAAATATAAATTGATCAACTATTTATTCACAAAAAAATTATGATTTAACATTAATAAGAATGCGCACACGATGTTTGTAAAAGTAGAAATATTTTCTTATAATACTTCATTTGGAATTTAAACGTAGGGAAACTTAATTTGTCTGGAACCATCTTTCTCCCCCCCCCCTGGAAGGGTTTATTTGATTAACAAAACAATAATGAAGATAAAACAATAATGAAGATATGTGAAGGGTCCGATTAAAAGATCAAGGGTGAATTTTGTGAAGGGTTCATTATCGGACCCAAATTTCTTCAAAGGGGGGAAATTTTTTAAAAAGCGTAGTGATGTTTCCCTGGGGTGGCTAAGAGCTATACCATGGGACGTCCCTTTCTGTGATTTTTCTCTAAGCTTCTAGCGGTTTCTGTGAGAAGTTTCCAAAACTTGGCGATTATTCTGCCACAGATCATGATACAGAAA